ACCTTGTAAAAGTTTATTCTTTGAGAAAATTAAGAACTAAATAGTTACTGCTGCCAAATAAAAATGGTTTTGTTGTAATCCCTCAAATGCACTTTTACTAAAGTTAATATATTTGACAAAATCTTGGTTTAAAATAACAAATATCTTAAGTATTAATTTAAACAGTTTTATATTTATTTAGTACTTAATAATAATCATGTTCTATTTGCTATTATTACATTTTCAACTGCATATTTTATTTGAGTGTTTGTGTGAATAATGTGCTTCTCTTTTTCTATTTTCAAGTTATCTGCTTCTTTTTTTTTGAAACAATTCAAATTCTTTTAAAAAAGTCTTATTTTGAAGTATTTATTAATAAAAAGTTTATTATTAAAACTATTATTATAAAATTTAGTATTAAATAAAAAATACATAATTAGTATAATCAAAACTTATAAAACATTTATTTCATAACTTATAAAACATTTATTTCATAACTTATAAAACATTTATTTCATAACTTTTAAAACATTTATTTCATAACTTATAAAACATTTATTTCATAACTTTTAAAACATTTATTTCATAACTTATAAAACATTTATTTCATAACTTATAAAACATTTATTTCATAACTTATTAAACATTTATTTCATAACTTATAAAACATTTATTTCATAACTTATAAAACATTTATTTCATAACTTATAAAACATTTATTTCATAACTTATAAAACATTTATTTCATAACTTTTAAAACATTTATTTCATAACTTATAAAACATTTATTTCATAACTTATAAAACATTTATTTCATAACTTATAAAACATTTATTTCATAACTTATAAAACATTTATTTCATAACTTTTAAAACATTTATTTCATAACTTATAAAACATTTATTTCATAACTTTTAAAACATTTATTTCATAACTTATAAAACATTTATTTCATAACTTATAAAACATTTATTTCATAACTTATAAAACATTTATTTCATAACTTATAAAACATTTATTTCATAACTTATAAAACATTTATTTCATAACTTATAAAACATTTATTTCATAACTTTTAAAACATTTATTTCATAACTTATAAAACATTTATTTCATAACTTATAAAACATTTATTTCATAACTTATAAAACATTTATTTCATAACTTATAAAACATTTATTTCATAACTTATAAAACATTTATTTAGTTAAAATATGTTTGCAATTGTTGTTTTTGAAAACACTTGCGAAACAGATTATGTTCCGTTGAAGTGGCTTGAGGGAGTGGATGCTAATAATATCCAGTTAATGATTACAAATCACACATCAGTAAAATGCCATTGGCCACCATTTAAAAATCCCAACACTACTTCTAAAGCAAAAAATAACAGCCATAATGCAGAGATAAATTGGCTATCCTACAAAGCAAGGGTGCTGGGATTGGCTGGCAAATTTATTTTGCATATTGTTTATTTTCTTAACATATTTACATTATTTTCTTATTATTATTTTATTATTTTTATTTTCTTAACATATTTACATTTATATGTAACATTTTTTTTACCTGTCTTTATTTTGATACAAATTTTTAGAAAGTTTGAACAATGCTTGTCAAAAAATGAAAATGGCAGAAGACACATCCAGTTTAGTTAATGCATTTGAAGAGATAGAAGGAAGTTCAGGAACTTTTATAAAAAAAAAAAGATGGTAGGCATTTAATAACAATTTTGTTTACCTGATATTTTTTGGTTATTTGATAATTTTTTTGTCTATCTGTGTAGATTAAATCAAAACATTTTATTTTAAATTTTGCACAATAATTTTACTTAAAAAATTTAACTTAATATTTTAAAATTTTGTCTTTTACTATTATTATTTTATTTTCAAACATATTTTAACAAATAAATATATTTTTAATAATCCTATTATAAGAAAAGTAAGTGCAAACTTGAAATTAACAATTTCAAATTTATCTATATATCATTCATTCATTTATTTGTAATTAATGGCTAAACGTACAAGAAAATAAATAAAAAGATATTAAAGAAAATAAAACGAATTGGCTTAGTGCAGTTGAAAGCAAAAATGTGCTTAGTTAAATACAGAAGTTATTATATATTGAAATATTATATTATTTTATTATATAAATATTATATTATATAAATATTATTTTAAACATATTACTAACAAGGCTGCAACAACTACGAGTTGGGAGTTAATAGAAGTGAAAAGACTAGAGTTATAAAGCAAGATAACAATTAATAGACAACTTAAAAGATTGCAAATTATAAGAATCAGGAAAAAAAGCGGAAGGGATCGAAATCCAAAGAACTGATGTTTGAGGGGAAAAACTAGAGGAATAAGAATTTTTTGAGCACTTAGGAACAGTCACAGTAAAAGGATGAGACTTAACTAAATGACATAAGAATGAATTTTAGTACAAGAGTTGGCACAAGAGACACTAGCTCTTTAGAACAGAGCCCATTATAGTATTTGAAGAAAAGAGAAAAAAAGAGAGAAAATAAAAAGAAAATTCTAATTAAAAAATATCTTCTTTAATTGTGGGTAAAAGAAAGAACTCATAAATCATGGATGGTAATAAATTTAGAAGCCATAACACATATTCTCATGATCTGGAGAGCAGTGTCAAGAATGGCATCCATTTATCAATGTCAAGAAGAGCATCCATTTGCGTGTACACCAGGATTTATTGATATATAATTTAATATAATGTTCTAAAAAAATGTCATCGTAATTCATTTACAAGTTGTGAAAATTTGAATTTAACTTTTTATTAAATAAAAGTTAAATTCAAATTAAAAAAAAGTTGTGAAAAACTGTACAAACCACACCAAGTATGGAGTCGTGCATGTTACACTGTAAAATAAACTTGAAGTATTCAATTGTCAAAATGATTACTGTTTCTTTAGTAGCTCCCGTTAAAAAAAATTATCAAGTGTATGTTAAATAAATAAAAAAGTGATATGCTGACAACTAGAAAAAATATATGTATAATTAGCTTTTATTACCATTTCCATTAATGATGAACATTCCAATGACTTAAGGAATAGTGAACAATTTTCACCTCCTATTGCTTCATCTGCTGAAAAGGCAACATCATTGTCAATGTTAAGTTCTACTACTGCAGGTAATTCCCTATAGTAACAATTCAACTGCTTAGTTAAACATTATTGTATTCTAATGTAATCTTTTTATATCAGTATTTGTCCTGTATTTTTAGTTTTTTTTTAATATGAGCCATTTCTTGAATGGACTATATACAAATGTTTTAAAAATTATTATTAATTTTTTCCTTGAATTTTTTGTCAAATATCCTGGAAAAATTAGAAAATTGTCCTGGAATGTCCTGGAATTTTGATATTTTTTTTCTGTGTGATCCCTGTAAAACTCATAGTAATGGTTATAGATTTGTAAAATTACAAATCTTTAACTGTGTTATTATGCGGTTAAAGGTTGCAATAACTTTTTTTATTTAGGCTCCAGTTTAAGTTAAACTGCTAACTTGCAAACAGTATTTAATTTAATAGCAACTTTGGTTAGCAATGTTGAGGAAATTAAAAAACTCTAAAGGTGCATACATCACTATTGCATTCTATTAGGCTAAAAGTGCTAGTTACTGAAGAATTAATATTTGATTTACCTGAAGATATTAAGTTGCCACTGAAGTCTATAGCAGAAGTAGAAACATTAGAAGAAAAGTTGTTTTGCGTATAGAAAAAAAAAAATTCTTGTAAGTTCAAAATTATTTATAAATTCAACTTGATATTTACAAATACTAAACTTAAGTTTAGAAAGGAATAATTGCGTAAAACAATTTGGGTTTAAAATTGGATGCCATGATATCATTATAAAAGCTATTAAGGGTGGGTTGAAATCTGATGGTGGAGTAATTATATCATTTGAAACAAAATAATTCTGCTTCCTGAGTCGCATCACTTACTACAAGATATTAAATTGTTAAATCTAATTAAACTTTAAATTGTGCCTTAAATTGTGAATATTTAACGTTATATAAAACTTTTTTGATTAAAGATGTTGCTGTGTTTGAGTGGGGGTGACTTGTTTAAAGGAAGTGTGATCAAACGTGACTTTACATGATAAAAAATGACAATTTTCTTTTTATTGCACATCATTTCATTTAGGCAAAACATATATCAAACATTGGTGGCGAGGATCTACGAAATTTCGTCATGAGAGCAATGCATGTTTTACTAGATGGTCAGCTTACTCGCCAATTCAATTTGACAGGGCAGAAGGAAAAGAAATCGTTTAAAGCATTATTGCTTTGTCAAGTTTTTTTGAGTAATAATTTTTTGAATTAGTAATTTTACTAAAGTAAGTAACTTTAATACAATTTTATTGCAATTATAGCTGTAAAACCCAAATACAAATCAATACAATAATAAAGATATTGTATAGAGTTTTATAATTTTTATGATTAGGTTCAGGTACACTTACAAATGAATTTTGTAAAAATACATATATTAAAACACCTGTTGTAGATAAACTGTGTTTGACCAAGTAGAGAAAAATAAATCAGAAAACTTACGGGATCCCTGTGAAATACCAGATAGCCTATATAGAAATCGTAAGGGTTAAAAAATTGTACATTTATGGGCATCCCAGAACGCAGCCGTGTAAAATACCAAATAGCCTATATGGGAATCATAAGGGCAAAATAAAGATTATTCATGGGACCCTTGTAGGCATTCCTGCGGGCAACCCTTATGGTTCCCAATTGGGACCCTAGGATATCTCCTGCTGGGATCCCTTAGGGATACCCATAAAGGTCCCTTATGTATGCCTATTCGGGTCTCTTATGGGACCCATACTAATCGGTTGGCTGGGCTTGTTCTCCTCTAAAAAATTTTTTTTAAAAAGAAAACTTTAACAAGCTTCTTTTAGCCGAGGACTCCTAAGGAGTGTAAATTCAGCTCAATTTTTTGGTTTGCTTGATGTTTATATTAAATACTTTTATATGTACACATTGTTAAATATTACCTCAAAACCATCTTCTCCAGTATAGCCACATCGAGTTACACGACATCCTTCAACACCAAAAACATTCATAGTTTGTCCATGCATAAACTTCAATCTAGATAAATCTTTTGACACTCCTTCTTGTAAAGCTAACTTTGCAGTTGGACCTAAGTAAAAATAAATAAAAAAGTAAGAATAATTATAAAACACAACCTATTACACAGCAAACAGTAAAAATTTGCAGAAACAACTTTACTTTATTAAAAGCAAAACTGTTAAATAATTAGGAAAGTCACAAACTATGCATCAAATATAGAATAGTATAATACCAAATAACAAAATATATATAAAATCAAATATTTAATATTATGAAAATGTTTTAATAAACAATTTTTTTGACTTTTTTTTTTTAATAAACAAAATGTTTTATTAAAAAAATGCATTAAAAAATCATATTTTTAAAAAACTTTTAATAGTATTTTTAATGACTTTTATATGATTAAAATTTTTTTTAATTTTTAACAATTAAAAAAAAAAACTGTTTAAAATTAAAAAATACTTAATTTTAACAATTTGAAAAAAAAAATCGTTTAAAATTATAAAAATACCTAATTTTTAACAATTAAATTTTTTTCTTAAATATAGTAAAACTGCTCAGTTTACTGAGAAACAGGAGAAAAAATATAATATTTTTAAATTAAAGAAAATCAAATTTAATGGCTTTTTTTTCTTAAACTCGATAAGGTCTAATCCAGTTTAAAAAATAATAATATTATCTTAATAATATTATTATTAATAATGATCTAAGAAAAGCATGCTTTTGTCTGTAAATTTTGTTACCTTTCAGTTTGAATAATGAAACTTTTTTTTTCAAATATTTCTATTCAACTAAAAAAACAACTTTGGTGCTTACTTTAAAAAATATACTTAACTTTTTAAAATAATCACGATAAAAGAATGGTATAATCTGTAAAATCATTATTATTTATTGAACACCACCGTTTTGTACATTCTTCAATAAAAATCTTTTTGGCAAACATTAAACAATTACCTTATTATTTTAGGTTCTAAATATTGGTAATAGATTCACAAAGTTAAAAATGCTAAAGTTTAGAAGTAGGAATTTAAAAAAAAATATTTAAGCTCGAGAGACTTAAATATAAGTAAAAGTCAAAAATATTTAAATTTTAGGAATGATATAACATAAAATAAGCTGTTTAAATAATTAAAACAAACAAAAAAAATTTTAAAGATATTTTTCAGATGTAGATTTAAAAAAAGATTTAAAAAAATATTTTTAAGATTTGTTAAAAGCTTTTTTTACAGAAGGACTCAACACACCGTGCAAGAGTACTCAACACCGTGCAAGAGTACTCAACACCGTGCAAGAGTACTCAACACCGTGCAAGAGTACTCAACACCGTGCAAGAGTACTCAACACCGTGCAAGGGTACTCAACACCATGCAAGAGTACTCAACACCGTGCAAGAGTACTCAACACCAAGCAAGAGTACTCAACACCGTGCAAGAGTACTCAACACCGTGCAAGATTTTTTTGGTTTGTAAAAACTGGTAAGTATAAGTTGCCGCTAATAAAGTTATAAAAATATTTCTCAATAAATAATTTCAATAAACAACTGCATTATTGTGTTAAATTTTCATAATAAAATATTGTAAGTTATGTTGATTTAATCTAACTTGCTAATTTTTGTTTATTTACAAAAATACCTAAAAATAGATAAAAATTATATTAACAATAATTTTATTTAAAAATTAAATATCACAGCATTTCTTTAATTATTTTTTTATCAAGCAACCTTCAAGTTTGCAGGTTTTAATTTTTAATCTCGATGTTTCCTTTTGGTACAAAACATTTTTCAGCAGCATAATAAAGAGTTTTTTTCTGGCATACTAACATATAATAATAATAATAATTAAAAAAAAATAGCTCTTCTCACATACTAACATTTTTTCATTACTTGGCATTTTTAAAATAATTTCGAAAATAACATTTATGAAAACAATATAAAATTTTAAGTGAAATAAATTTGTAAAAACCATAATATATCACAAAATTATAATAATAATAATTCTTGTAAATTAATCAAAATTGACTCAAATCTATCCTTTTCTTTTCATCAATAGCTCTTCTCACATACTATCACGATTGTACATGGGTTTTTTTTTCTTTCTCGCTTACAAACATAATAACTCTTTCCATACTATCACTATTGTACTTGGGTTCTATTTTTTCATTACTTGGCATTTTTAAAATACTTTCGAAAATAACATTTATGAAAACAATATGAAATTTTAAGTGAAATAAATTTGTATAAACCATAATATATCACAAAATTGTAATAATAATAATTCTTGTAAATTAATCAATATTGACTCAAATCTATCCTTTTCTTTTCATCTTAAAGATTAGAAGCGAAACTGTGTAGATCAAATAAGGTGTTAGCCAAAACTCATCATTGTGCCAATTATGAAACTCAACTCAATATATACCATGCAATTTTAGTATCACATCTCAGATATAAAGGTCAGGTAAACCCTTTCTCCATCATTCTGCAATTTTCTCACCGCCAAAAAAAGTTCTTATCAAAAGTTCTCTTTAATCTTTTAGTAATTTTAAATTTACAAATCATTTTTCAGTCAAATGCAATCATAAATCAATACAAATCACAAACCAATTCATAAAACCATGAAATAACTTCTTCATATTAAGTCACTAAACTCTATTTCACAATTTAAAAACTTTAGAAAAATAGTAGAATAGTTAGAAATTTCGTTAGATGTATGTAGAATGTCAGGCTTATTGTGGATTATTATTATTATTGCTATTGTTAATATTATATAGTGTAAATATTATTTACATTTTTTATTACTGCCATTATTAATTATTAATATTGTTTAATTATTTATTAATAATATCACTAATAAAAAAAAAATTAAGGAATATAACATTTTAACTTGGTTTTGAAATTAAATTTTATTATAATACACCAATGAGGTAATTTATATTTAAACAAAAATATTAAAGTTAAATTTGCATTTATGATATATGAAAACATTATAAATGAGCTGCACTTTTAAGTTACTGAACAAAATCCCATGACAACGCATGAAAATAATAAATTAATATAATATAAAAATTTTCAAAATTAATCTGAAAGTTCAATGAAGGTTAAAACATCAAAAAAATATATACTTTTAGTTTTTTTTTTTTAAAGTAAATACTTTTTTACAAGTATTTAGTGAAGAAATGCAGACCATAAAAATTATCGTAAAACAGACCAAGAATGTGTCAATGGTACCATTGATTCTTGTTAATAACATAACTTTTAACAATAATGAATGTTTAATGCTGATGTGCAAATTTAACAAATATACCCCCAAATGATGTAATCAATTTAAATATAATCAAACTACATAATTAAATGTAAAAAAAATGTGTGATTTGGCAACATTAACAGAAAATATGAAACCAGTATCTAGTAAATGACATCAGACAGCTATAAAGGCATACAGGTAATGCACATTTATATACTTACTGTTTTAATAAATTTGCCTTATCTTCATTCAAATGAAAATGAATATGTTGTTTTAGGGTGGTCCTCTAGTGAACCTGATAAGAAAATGTTTTGAAAAAACTTCTACAAAAGATCAAGCAAAAGTTATTTTCTCTAAAATTGAAAAACTAAAGGTTTTACAGCTTTTACAGCTTAAACTCTTTTTTGAACTTTTCTGATGCAATAGTTTACTTTATTACAGAGACATGCAGTTTTTCTGTTTAAAAAATTTAGCATTACTTTTCAACCCCAGAAAAGAATAAAGTGAATTCAAAAAAAATTATCCAAATTGTGAAACTCATTTAATTAAGTATTTTTCTACAAAATCATTAAAACTTTTTTAAATATGCTAAAAAAAGGTTAAAAATGTTTCCTGCTGTTTATAAAATCTTGAATTATTGTTTGTCAACCTTACTCAACTTATATAAAGTGCATTAGTTTGTCAACCTTACTCAACTTATATAAAGCGGGCCTCAGCAGGAGCAATTGAGTGCAAGAGCAGAGAAAAGCTCTCCTAAAACCAACATGGCAAGCCATGCGAGCTGCTCCTCTAAACTACTCTCTACGAGAACTTTTGGTTTTTGCACAAGCTATCTGTTTATTTATATAAAAATTTGGTTTTATACTTGTTACTAACATACGTTTGTAACATTTATGTTACAATAACGAACACATAATAAGTGTCATTTATTGCCCCATGAAATAATTCTTTAGACATAACATTTTTTTGACTTTGCAAAAACCGTGCCTGTTTATTATCCAATCAATTTAATTTTTTTTGACTTTGCATTTTTCATTTTAGTTACAATGGTAATTAAACTTTTGAGAGAAAAAAAAAAACTTTTGCAATAGCTGTAAATTGCTCCCATAAACTGTTTTAGAGGAGTGTGGGCGGGAGCGAGAGCTAAAGCTCTCGTTTTCTGCCGAGGCCTGATAAAGTGTATTTGTTTGTCTACCTTACTCAACTTATATAAAGTGTATTTGGCAATAAATTTGTTGCATATGTTGTTGTCTTCTTTTGAGGAGTGGACTTGCAAAACTAGATAATTCACTTTTTTTTTTAATTCTGAGAAAATGGCATTTTTTAACTATTCGATTTCCAGTAAATCGAATAGTTAAAAAATAAAAAAATTAAAAGCTAAACAATAGATATCATTAAAAGAATGCTGAAGAAAAAAAATGAAAAAAATTAAAAGCTAAACAATAGATATCATTAAAAGAATGCTGAAGAAAAAAAATTGAAAAAAAATTAAAAGCTAAACAATACATATCATTAAAAGAATGCTGAAGAAATATAAAATAAAAAAAATTAAAAGCTAAACAATAGATATCATTAAAAGAATGCTGAAGAAATAAAAAATAAAAAAAATTAAAAGCTAAACAATAGATATCATTAAAAGAATGCTGAAGAAATAAAAAATAAAAAAAATTAAAAACTAAACAATAGATATCATTAAAAGTTAAACAATAGATATCATTAAAAGTTAAACAATAGATATTATTGAAAGTTAAACAATAGATATCATTAAAAGTTAAACAATAGATATCATTAAAAGTTAAACAATAGATATCATTAAAAGTTAAACAATAGACATCATTAAAAGAATCCTGAAGAAAAAAAATTGAAAATTGTGCTCTTTTGATCTTATTTTTATTATAAAATGAAAAAAACGTTTTTTCTGGTTTTGCTAATTTTTTTTTAAATCTAGTTTTGATCAAAAAAACTGGTTTTCAAAAAGGGTTAATGAAGTCAACTTGACAAGTGACTATTTTAATAATCAGTTTAGGTACAAAGCTCTGCCTTAGAAAATAAGTAATTTTAATGTTTGATACTTTTAAAGGCTTGATGAAGTTACAACTCAATTGTAACTGTTTATGATTTTACAGGCTTTTGTGATTTTAGTGAATTTTCTTGTATATCATTTTTTTCTTAAATAATGTCCTCTGTTTTTTAAAACAGAATGTTGATAGATAAGATTTTTGTCTTATTTTATATCAATAATATTTATTTTTTAATCTGGTTTTGCATGGACAGAATAATTTAAGGCAGGTAAAATATTAAAATAGTTGCTTTTAAATTTAATTTTTATTTTTAAAGAAGTAGGAATATTAATAATACAAAAGAATATTGCTTTTGTCATTAAAAATGACAAAAGCAGTCTTTTTTTCATTAAAAATGTATTATCTGGTTTTGCAAGTCCACTCCTTATTTAATCTTAACAGAAATTAAAATAGAATTTTTTTGATTTTAAAATCTTTTAAAAATTTTAAAACTTAATTTTTTAAATTTTAAAATCTTTTTATAACCTTTTAGAAATTTTTAATATCTAAAAAAGTTTTTAAATAGTTTTAAAAATTTTATTTGAAAAATTAATAGAGTTAAAAAATATTGTGCATGATATAGGCCTTTTGTAAAAAAGGTTTTTTGTAAAGAAGGCTTTTAACAAAAGCAGTTAATATATAAAGCGCACATAATTTAAAAACATAAGTTGGATATAAAAAGTATAATTTCAAATTTTATTTTAAAAGTAACAAACTTTACAAAAAACAACTTAAAATTAAAAACCTTGTATGGCAAGCAAAGATTTATTTAAAAACTCAATATCAATGTCAAGTTCAGTTTTGCGATGTAAAAATTGCATCTAAAGAGAAATCAAAATGAAAATTTAAAACTTCTTAAACAAATTCTAAAGTTTTTTTTATGTTCTTAAATTACCTCAATAAGTGGTTTAATCTTATATGCACAACCAGCATTGGAAACAACATATATATGATCACCAGCATTATTTATTATGCAATCATCGATTATACCACCTTTAGCATTCATAAACAAAGATAAACCACCAGCATTTTCACTCATGTTTTTAATATCGGCAACTACTAACTCTTCAAGGAATTTTACTCTATCCCTGCCTAAAAATCAAATTTTTTATTAAATTAATGATGTATATTACAAAATTATTACACACAATCACACCTATATCTATACTAGTCTATACAAACAATTTTTTTTAGAGTTCTATATAGAGCAAGAAGATGCTCTCCAAATAAGCTTACCTATCTCCCATGTGTTAAGCTTAATAAACTTTTTTGCAATTGACACTATATTAAAATATTTTATCCATTTAGTTTTTCATTGAACTGATAAAGTAATCCTTTACATCTTTCATTTTTATCACACAAATGAAAGTTAATCTGCCCGGTTTTTCAGTGATAATAATTTTATTACCATACTTGAATTTCATTTGTATCTTAATTGTTCTGTTATCTAAATCTGGTTTTTTACATATACTTTTTAACTTTTTTAAAAAAAAATTACTACTTAAAACTAATTAATAAATGTAAAAACGACTTGAAAGGCACATGGCAAATTATGAAAGAAATTACTGAAAACAAAAATCATGCTAAGGTTTTCTGCTGCAGATGATTAAAGTTGATAACATTAGTTTATACGATCCAAGAGCAGTATCTCATGAATTTAATAAATCTTTTATTGGGATAGGTCATTCTCTATCAAATAAGATTCCAAACATGACAACTTTCTTTAATGATTTTCTCGTACCTATGGATAATTGCATTTGTTCCGATGAGTTAACCTCAGAATTATCTTATGAGGAATTTGAAGTAGCTTTGAATTCCTTGAAAAGAAACAAAGCAGCAGGAGCAGATGAAATTAATGTACTTATATTAAAATCTATTAAAACTTGTTCTTTTTAAAGTTTTTAAAGCTTCTATTAACCAAGGAATATTCCCAAAACAATTAAAAGTTCTTTAAAGAGGATGACAGATCAAATATTATTAACTATCGTCCCATCTCTGTTCTTTCGGTTTTTTCAAAAATTTTAGAAAGAATAATGTCTAATAGAATATACAAACATCTCAACAAAAATAACTTACTATATAACAAACAATTTGGCTTTGAAAAAGGTAACTCAATGGAGCATGCAATAATCCAGTTTGTGCATGAAAACTCAAAATCTTTTGAAAAATCACAGTACCTGTTAGGTATCTTCATTGACCTATCAAAAGCTTTCGACACAGTAGATCATTATATTTTACTGCAAAAACTTAAATATTATGGAATTAAAGGTACTGCTTTAAAATGGTTTAGAAGCCACTTATCAAAAAGAAAACAATTTGTTTTAAAGTTTTATGTTTTGTATATTTATGGAGAAATAGTTTACCCCCTACTGCTTTTAACAATATTTTTAAACTCAAACCTAACAACCAATACGATATAAGAAACATAAATTTTTTAAATGAGCCGTTTTGTCACACAAAATTTAATCAATTTTGCATTGCTTACCATGGACCCCACCTATAGAATAATATTGTTCTGCCAAATTTCGATCAAATAACTTCCTTTTACCTTTTCAAGCTCAATCTAAAAAAATGTATTTTTTCACTTGATAATATACTTGGATAACTTTTTGAAAATTATTTTTGACTTAAAATAATATTACTTTTTTATTTTTTTGTATTTTTTTGTAAACTTTTCTTTATTTTGCTTGCTTGTATTTTATAAGGTTCTGACGACAAGATCTTAGTTGCTAAGGGAGAACCCATAGCAACACCATCAATTTTGTCATAAATTTGTCCTTTGAAGAGAAAATGAGTTTGAGATGTTGCAATATTGAAGAGTGTTGCAAAATTGAAATCCTGTTATATTGGCGAAACTACTCGCCATTTAAAGACACAAATAATCAAGCACCAAAAAAGGAAAAAAAACTCACACAATTATAAACATACTCATTCAAATAAAAGCTGTTTTAATAGTTTTAATCACGCTAATTTTTCAACTTTATATTCAGCCTCCAATAAATTTATATTTAAACTCAAAGAAAGCATGTACATAGAATGGGAAAAACCCAATATTAATAAACAAATGAACCATGTAAAATGACAATTTCAATCTAGTTCCTTTTAATGTTACGGGTTCTTTTATCTTTTTAAAAAACATTTTGTTACATTTTTTAATTGCATTTCTATTGTATTTTTTATTAAAAGGTCTTTATTAGTTCAACTTAATTTAACTTATTTAATTTACGTACTTTTTTTTAAATTACGTACGTAATTTAACTTATTTAAATTACGTACACTCACCTTAGACTCCTGTATTTTGTTAGATGCAGTGTTTTTCCTAATGCACTTCCGAAATGTCATGCCTGGTTTTCTCAAAGTACTGTAGCGGGAAGTAACTCCTTTTAACTACTCCAGGTCAGGTCAGGATAATCGAGATCAATCTTGCTACTGGTATCACGTAACCCAGTACCACCTGCCAAAAGCCCTGCTGCCTTGCAGAGTGTGCTCTTCTTATGCAAAGGCTAGGAGAAATAAACTCCGACTAAAAATTCCCCTGCCTTGGGGCTCTTGGTTGAGTAAAGGCTAGAGATGGTGTCTCGATAAAAACACTCATCTTGGGCAGATGTTAACTGCATCCAGCTAAACATCCCCTGCCTTGGGGCTCTTGGTTGAGTAAAGGCTAGAGATGGTGTCTCGATAAAAATACTCATCTTGGGCAGATGTTAACTGCATCCAGCTAAACATCCCCTGCCTTGGGGCTCTTGGTTGAGTAAAGGCTAGAGATGGTGTCTCGATAAAAATACTCATCTTGGGCAGATGTTAACTGCATCCAGCTAAACATCCCCTGCCTTGGGGCTCTTGGTTGAGTAAAGGCTAGAGATGATGTCTCGATAAAAATACTCATCTTGGGCAGATGTTAACTGCATCCTGCTACTGTCTTGTAGAAGGCCTCCTAGGCAAAGACTTTAGGGGTAAGCAGAAAAATTCTGCTAACCAGCCTCAAACCCCTTCTTTATCTATTAGGCTGGCGTAGATGGAACCTGTGTTACATTGTTTCCTGCTTAGGATGATGAATGCTGGATCTCCTTGACTCTACTCATAGAATTTTGCTTATGCCTCCTTGATAATGGCTATGCAACTCTTCCTGTTATCTCCATATGAGGGTACAGCTCTAAAACTCAGTTTAATGGTTCTGAGGCCGGCTGGTAGTAAGGTTTCCCGAACTCTGTGGTAGCTCTCAGAGAGGCTGATTCCATCAACAGCTGCAAAATATCAGAGTATTAACAGTGCCATGTTGCGCATGGATGGTGTCCCTGTTAATGCTTTTGGTGTGCATTGTCAAGGCCACATAAGGAACCCTATGTCACGGCTTAGGGTTAATTAACAGGACTGAGACAACTGCATAGCTCATTGATTAGGAGGCTGTGCTCTATCTATGAATGAGTCAAGTTCTCATTAAACCCAAATCATGACCAAAGTAAGCAAAAATTTAAAACCTAAAAAACCATCCCCACCACCTAAATATTTTAATATATCTTTTACAAATATTCGCGGTCTACGAAGCAACTTTCCATCAGTTGAGTCTTACCTCCTGCAAAATTCACCAGACTTGCTTGCACTCAGTAAAACAAATTTAAGTTCTGCAATTCCTTCTTCAGATGTCAGTGTTGATGGGTACTATCCTTTGATTCGTAAGGACTCCAATAGTCACATGCTAGGTTTAGGGGTTTACATACGCATTAATTCCCCTATTTGTCGTGAAATCAGGTTCGAATCCTTTGACCATTCTTTTATGTGCTTTTGCCTAGCACCTCTTCACTCTATCACCTTTCTCTTCGTTCTTTATCGTTCTCCTTCTTCCCATGATTGCACTCTTTTAGATGTTATCTCTGATCAAATTGACCATGCCCTCTCTCTTTACCCCTCTGCCAATATTGTTGTTGTTGGTGATTTTAATGCCCATCACACTGAATGGCTTGGCTCTATCACCACTGATCCTGCTGGCACTAAAGCCTTTAACTTCTGCGTTTCTCAATCTCTTACTCAGATAGTTAACTTTGTGACTCGTTTTCCTGACAACCCTTATCATTTACTTTCACTCCTTGACTTATGTCTTGTCTCTGACCCTAGCTTATGTTCAGTTTCTCCCTTTTCTCCCTTAGATGGTTCTGACCACGCAATGATCTCTGTAAATCTTTCTTCTCGTACTTCTTTTTTGGGCTCACCTTATCATCGCACCACCTACTACTACCCTAAAGCTGACTGGGATTCCTTTCGTGATTTTCTTCGTGATGGTCCTTGGGCTGATGTTTTTTCTCTCTCAGCTGACAAATGCGCCTCCTACGTAACCTCCTGGATTCAGGCTGGAATGGAAGCTTTTATTCCTTCGCGTCGGTTTCAAGTCAAGCTTCATTCTACTCCATGGTTTTCTCCTTCTTGTGCGGCTGCTATATCCAATCGAAACCATTTTTTTCATCTTTTTCAAAAGAACAACTCTCTTGAGAACAAACGGCTATTTATTATTGCAAGAAATCGATGTAAAAAGGTGCTTTCTGATGCTAAACTCCATTATTCTCAGTTCACTAAATCTCGCATCTTATCACAGAAGTTAGGCTCTAAAGACTTTTGGAAAATCTTCAACAGCATTATTAACAAGGGTAGATCTAACATTCCATCTCTCATTCATGGGACTGATCTTGTTACCTCTCCCAGGGATAAGGCAGAACTGTTTGCAAAGAACTTTTCTTCTAATTCCACTCTTGAATCTTATGGACATTCTCTTCCTTCCATTCCAGTCAAACAGGTTGACCCATTGTTAGACATTCAAATCACTCCGGCTTCTGTTGCTAAAGTCATATCTCAATTAAACTCGTCTACAGCTTGTGGTCCAGACAACATTCCTGTCACAGTCTTGCAGAATTGTTCTCCAGAACTTTCTTCAATTCTCTCTAAACTATTTAACAAGTGTTTGACCGAGTCTTGTTTTCCTGCTTGTTGGAAAATGGCATCTGTGGTTCCAATATTCAAAAACTCTGGAGAAAATTCTGACCCCTCCAATTATCGTCCGATCAGTCTTCTTTCTGTTATTAGCAAGGTCTTTGAGTCTTTGA